TACTTCCTTTTCCTGCTTGAAATTCCTCGCACCTTTCTCCTTGACCTTGTTGGCGCCTCTGCAGAGATAACAGCAGCACCTGGCTTGGCATCTTTCTCCCCCCTTCTCCTAACTTCGATGGCAGGAACAAGCAAGTAATTAACACTTTAACCATTTAACTCTCAAGTATGCAATGCTAGTCTAAATTAAATGAAACTGTGATTTCTAGCTTGCGTAGATCCTGACATAGATGATGGATGGATGGATGATAGATAGGTAGGTAGGTAGGTAGGTAGGTAGGTAGGTAGATAGATAGATAGATAGATAGATAGATAGATAGATAGATAGATAGATAGATAGACGGGCTTCCCATTCCGTTTCTTTAGCGGCCCTGGCTCGTCAACTGATTCCCGGGGATCTTTTTCAAAGCTGCCTTTCTGGTGGCCAGGAACTGCCTGAGGGGCTCGCTGGGCCGATTTCTTCAGGTCCTCGTGGTCCACCCCAGACCCAGCCTCGGCTGCTCTCCGGAGGGATGCCCTTTCCCCTCGGCAGCCCAGGGCTCGTGGAACGGCATCCCCCCCATCCGTCCTTCTGAGGGCGGAGGGCAAGGCAAGACCCTCCTGCCGAAGGAGACCCACGGCGCAGGAGAGGGCGCTGCACACGGCAACCACGCGGGCAGCGAGAAGCCACCCGATGTGCTGCGGAGGCTGGGCTGGCCTGACCCTGCTAGCCCCGGGAAAGGCTTCCAGAACTTGGCTGTACCCCAGGCACTGGGGCTGGGATGACGAAAGTCTCATTAGAAGAAGGTATGAACGTGAACCAGGTCACCCATTACTGATTATTATCGACGGCTGTTTTTATCTTAGGTAGCTTTCTTTTCGTTTTCTTGTAAGCTGCCCAGAGTTGACCGATTGGGTGGTCATTGGAATTCCATTATCCATCTGTCATCTACCTGTCATCTACTTGTCTGTCCCTCAGCAGGCTCTAGGCTCCAGGCCCAAGGACGTATCTCACTTAACAGAACCAGTTTGGTCTACTGGTGAAGGCCCCAGGCTAGAAACCAGGAGACTGTGAGTTCTAGTCCCACCCGAGGCACAAAAGCCGGCTGGGTGACTTTGGGCCAGTCACCCACTCTCAGCCCAACTCACCTCACAGGGTTGTTGTTGTGGGGAAAATAGGAGGAAGGAGGAGTATTAGGCATGTTCGCTGCCTTGAGTTATTTATAAAAATAATAAAGGTGGGATAAAAAAATTTTTAAAAAACAGTACAACAGCCTTCCTTCCTGCAGGCATGGGTAAAGTTGCAGTTTGGGCAGTTTAAGCTGGTGCTGCCACTGAAGTGAGCCTGCTGCATCTACTTCCCCTTGTGGACCCACCGGCCTCTGGAATCAGCCCCATGTGTGCGGTGGCCTCCTCCCTGTCTGGGGGAAGGATCAGACTGCCTCTGACCCAGGCAGGCCCGCAGAGTCTTTAAAGCGTTGCGGCCACGCTGCCCTTCCATGGCGGTGGAAGACGGAGGGTGCCCCCCATGCTTGCCTCCGGAGATGGTCTCTGTAACTTTGTACGGGCCCATGGAAAACCGCAACCAGGAGAAAGGTCTCACTTGTTCTCCTGGACCTTTTCTCTTTTCCAGGAGCTGATCTTCTATCCCAAAGACAGTATCTCTACAGAGCTCTTTGAGGCACTGGGCCAAATTGTGTGCCACAGGGCCTTTTCGGTGGCTGCCATCCAGAACGCCAGCCAAGCTGCTGCAGCTGTGTATCAGTGGATCTGTTCTGTCTACTGGTATCACTGGGCTCTGCGGGAGTGGCAACCTGCCCTACTGCAGCTACAGAGCTGCGACGATCAGATCAACACAGAGAAGATAAACCTGGGGGATCGACGCCTTCACTCCGAGTACCTGAGAGACACCACCCAGGCCCGGATTAGGGAGCTGAAGCAGAAGCAGGAGCATCAGGAAAAGCTGCTGCAGCAGCTCACCCAGTCCTTACAGGCCAAAGAGGAAGCCAGCACTGTGGAGAGCTCGGTCGCGGAGCACATGGCCAACTGGACGGCCCTCGCCAAGGTAACGGCCGAGAGCTGGAGGGCTCTTCCCTTCCCTTGGCAGGCCCCTTCCCTTCCAGGTGCAGTGTTCTAGAGCGCTGTCTCTCCTCCCAGGATCTGGAATACCACCAAAGCACGGTGCACGGTGATGCCCTTCTCTGCTCAGCCGTCATCTCCTACTTGGGTCCCTTCTCCCCACCGCGACGAAAAGAGCTTCTGGAGAAGTGGCAGGCTGTGTGTGACGGGTCCCAGGTTTTCCTGAGCCCTGATGACGTTAGTTGGCTGCTGCAGAAAGAATTGCCCTGCCCAGGCCCAGCCTCCTCGGGTCCCCCGCTGCTTGCTGTACAGAAGCCACTGAGACTAGTGTCTCTGCTCAGCTCAACTCAACAGCAGCGCCTCTGGGATCGGGTCCACAAGCCAAAGGATGCTGAGAGCCGGCTCACTGCCATGATCATACACTCCAGCGTTCACCTTCCGGCCTGCCGGTGGCCTCTGTTGGTGGACCCTGACAAGCAGGCGCTGATCTGGTTGCTCATGACTCTGGCTATGGAAGAGGGTGAGTGGAAGAAAGAAACTGATTCCTGGGCCTGGGCCTTTTCTTCTTGGGTTAGGTTCTCATCCGCCCTTCTTTCTGCAGAGGAATCTCAGGCCCAAGTCCTGTCTGATCTTGTACCAGATATGGTGGAGCAAGGTGGCTGTGAGGAGATACCTGAAGACAAGCTTGAAATCCTGTCACTGACCAACCCTGACCTCGAGCAGAGTCTCAGGAATGCTGTTAATCTCGGTAAGCAAGGGGCCAGCCACACAGAACACGCGGCACGTTCCCCACGCTAGGCAGAGACGGCGTGGAGGTTTGACAGGGCAGACGCTTTGTGAACCCCTTGGTGGCCCAGCACCGCTTGGCTCGTGTTTTCCTCCAGGCAACCCGGTGCTGCTGATGGACTTTGAAAAGAACATCTCCTGGTGTCCAACCCTGCAGCGGTTGATGGAGAAGGAATCCTTTCGGGGAGCAGAGAGCAAAACCCTCTTCCCTGCCTCTGAGAAAGGAGCAAAGGAGTCGGTGTGCACACCCGTGCCGCCCTCTTTTTCACTGTACCTGTGCACTGAGCTGCCTCTTACAGCTTTGGCTGCAGGTAAGGAAAGAGAGTGTCCAGATTATCGGAAGAGAGAAGCATCGCCCCAGGGTTTGGGCATGTTCAGTCTGTAGATGAGACTGACGGGGAGACAGGAGAGTAGCCTTCAAATATCTAAAGGATTGCCATGTATGTTTTTATTGTGGAATAATGTTTAACGTTCGCTGCTTCTGTGGCCTGTTTCTATTGTACACCGCCCAGAGTCACGTTCGTGAGATGGCCAGCTATACGAATGTGATGAACTAAATAAATAAATAAATAAATAAATGGGGCGGAATGGATGGCAGGACCAAACCGATGAACAGACAATGCAGGAAAATAGATTCTGTTAGACAGGAGGAGGAGTGGCCGCGGCCGCTGGGAGAGGAGGCTGTTCCTTTTCGCCGCAGAGCCGGAGGGCTCCCTGCCCGGCCTGCGCAGAGCAGCGGCTGGACTAGGTAGGACTTCTGACCCGATGGTTCTGTGAAGTGGAAAGCGGTTGTTTTCTTCAATAACAAGAATAAAAATCACTTTTTATTATTTAAATTGGAGGGCAATATCGCGTGCGGTTCCTTTAAGGAACATAGTTATTATGGGAAACAAACAGGGAGAACTTTTGGTCCTGAGACAGGGGGTAAAAATGAAATTGTATCATTAAAATCTAGTGAGCTGGAACTCATGACTAGTATAATTAATTAATTAATTAAAGCTGCATGCCACCTGACTCCCAACGACTGCGTGGCTCACAACAGGCATTTCAATAAAAGATAAAGGCTGGTAAGCGTGACAGACCAGACGGAATGAAGCAAATATAGTACTGGAAGGGTATAATTGGTTGAAAAAAACCCAGACCCAACAAAAGGGGACAAGGGGGCTCATGTTTATGTACATAAGGAATGATTACCCTTGTATGGAGTGGAAACTCTGCCAAAAGTATCTGGGTGAACATTAAGGGGAAAAGAAACAACGGTGACGTGGTTGAGGGTATGTACTACAAGCCACCGAACCACGAAGAGACAGATGACATTTTGGCCAGTGAGATCTCTGAGGTGTCCAGCTACCCCAGCATCAGCGGTGGATCAAGCTCAGGCAGCAAGTGGGAGATCCAGCAGGTCACACAGACAACTTGGTTGTGCAAAAGGTGGATCAGGGAACCGGGGATCGGCTCCACTGCACCTAATATACATGTGTGCATACACTAAGAGAGAAGAAAGGGTTGAGGAAGTGGGGGTGGTGGGCTCCCGGGGGGAAAGCAACCGTCGGCTCCTAGAATTCACCCTGCTGCCAGCAGAGAGCCAGATTTGCTTTGAGCATTTCAAGAGGGCTGACTTCGGTCAGCGAAGGGGAAAGCAGGAAAGCTTCCGGGAGCGGAAATGCTGAGGGGAAGAACAGGTCAGGGCAGAAAGCGAGATGCCTGAGGCCCACGCGCAAAGGGCACCAAAGGAGTAGGAAACCGGGCGACAGCTGGTGCAGCTCAGGAGGCGAAAGCCCCCCTTTCCCGCCCCCTCCCTCCCTCCCTCGCTGTCCGCAGAGGTGGACCACTCGCTTTTGAAGAAGCTGAACGTCGTGGACCTCAGCCTCAGCCAGGGAGCCCTGGAAGACCTGCTGCTGAACGAAGTGCTGCGAGCGGAGCGCCGGGAGATCCTGAAGAACCGGCAGGCGCTGTACCTAGGGGTCCTGCAGCTGGAAGGCAAGCTGGAGGCTACCGAGGTGACTATCTCATTACCTACGTATTTAGAAGACGGGCATGGGTGTGGCTGCCCGTCTTAGGGCAGCTCACGGCAGTAAAACTACAAGGCCAGCTAGCCATAAAACGAGGACTAAAAACCACACCCCAGTCTTCCCCTAGGAGTGCCACAGGGCCAGGTCTTGAGGGCCCTTCTGGGAGGCTGAAGGGGCGGGGGCCTGCCGGGTCTCCGGGGGCAGAGCGTTCCACAGGTAGGGGCAGGCATGGAGAGGGACGCTTCCGAGGCCCCCCTAGACGGCAGCCTTCCAAGGAAGAGTCCTGGAGCGTGCCAGCCCTATCGGGTAAGTCCTGGGGTCAGCGGCAGGGCCATTTGGCCAAATCCACGCTGCCCCTCTTCCCTTTCTGCCCCATTCCCCTGCAGGAGGAGCTGGTGGACCTGATTTCACAGCCCCAGCGTTCGCTTTTGGAGGAGGAGAACTTCATGCCGATGGTGCAGCTCCTGCAGACCCAGATCCAAGCGTTACGTGCCACTCACAAGCACATGGCCGCCCAGCACCAGGATCAGGCTGCCCTGTGCGACAAGTACCGGCAGGTGGCCCGCCTTGGCGTGGGACTGCACGAGGCGCTCCAGCAGGTAGCCCGCCTCCACCCGCTCTATCGCTTCCCCACAGAGTTCTGCATCAGCCGCGTGCGACAGGCTTTGATTTCGGCCAAGCGCCAGGAGACCAGCAAGCAGGAGTCCCTGGAGGCCCGGCTCCTGGAGCTCAGCAGGATGGTCCTTTGGCAGCTGCTCACCCAAGCCCTGCCCTGCCTGCGGGAGGCGGATCGCCTGCTCTATTTCTTCCTGGGCGCAGCGGCCACACTGCGAGTGGCAGGAGACATCAGCCCGCTGGAGTGGCTAGCTTTCTGCCAGGGCTTGCAGAGCCCGGCTGCCAGGGCCCTCCTCCTGTCCCTGGAGCCCGGCGTGGCGCGCCCCGGCTGGGTGAGCGCAGAGGCCTGGGAGGAGTGCGCCTTGCTGGAGAGCCTTCCTGGCTTCCGGGGCCTGCTGGCCTCTTTGGCTGAGAAGGCCGTGCAATGGCAGGAGTACTTTGGCTTGCCCTCCACGGTGGTCGGGCCGGCTTTGTGTCCCAGCCACGCGCACCTCAGCCCTTTCCAGCGTGCTATTCTTTGGCGCATTTTGTGCCCCGGGGCCATGAGCCAAGTGATTTCCGACCTCACCGCCTGCTTGCTGGGCTGGGCCTTCACCGAAAAGATGGTGGCTGTCAGTCCCTACTCCTTCAGCCGCGCCAACAGGCCAGTCATCTTTGTCACGGCCCCGGCCGGATCGCACGGTTCCTTCACGCATCCTCTTCTCTGGATCCAGCAGATGGCAGCCCAGCGGGGCCGGGTGGTGAGTGGGGCCTGGCGCAGGGGGGGACGGTGGCTGGAAGCCGGAGGGCGTCGCCGTCCCTCACTGGGCGAACCGCGACCTGCAGGGAAGAGTGGTCGTCATCTCCTTCGGCACCCCAGACGCCTCCAGGCGTGTCCAGAGAACGCTGCCCTTCTGCACCAAGAAGGGGAAGTGGCTGGTCCTGAACAACTGTCAGCTGCTGAGCCAGTGGGACCCCGAGGTGCTGCTGCAGTTGAACCTGGTGCTGCACACCCCGGCAGGTGAGGGGAAAGCAGGGGCCGGGGGAGTCGGTCACCGCCAGGTGTTGAAGGGCCCCTCCCTCACTCTCCCCATCCTCCTCGCCCAGGACACACCAAAGAGGGGCCCCCTGAGATCCACCCCAAGTTCCGGCGCTGGGCCCTAACGACAGCCCCTCCC